ATCCTGTATGAGATGTGCTATGTCCTCCCTGTCCTTGTTCACTGCTCAAACACGAAGAGCTTTCCAGTTGGGAGATATGGGCCAGGTGCAGGTGACACAGAAGGCTTTCCAGTGAATCTTCTGGCAGCTCACAGGCAAGATATCTGTGACTGAGAGTCCCATTCTATTCAGGAGCTGAAATGGCTTTGCCTTGTGCTAAGCCAGTCTCCTGCAATAGCCTGTGATACTCAGAGTCTGGTATTTGGGGTGAGCTGGAATCACCCCTCTGACAAGAAAGCCCCAGTGCTAGAAACTAAGTTTCCTATGAAGACCAGGAGCTACCTGTTTTTCTGCATCCTATCCAGGATGAGGAGATAAAGAGCTTTCCTGCTGCAGAGTCTGAGAGGAACCTCTGTGGGAGAATGATGACAACTAATCCCACATTTTTATTCTATTGTTTGAATCCGGGATATTTTAGGCTATTCTACCATGCACACAGTATTATTAACACACAAAATCTCAAGAGAGGCTTGGGTCAGGTTTGACCAGTGACCTAAGTGAAATCTGAGTTCTGAGAGATCTGTTGTATACATGCTGGTGTGAGCTGTACATTGCCCAAACACAAGGTAGCCCTGGACATAAAGAGGCTTTGAGTTAGGGAAAAACCTCGCAGGAGTGTAAATGAAGAAACCACTGATGGACAGGAAGGGGAGAATGGTTCTGCATTTCCTCCTTAAGCCTGACCCACTGCTCTCCCAAGAAGTCATGACTATCTACTAGCTTGGATAAGCCTTGTTTTCCCCTAGGGATGATGTGATGCTGAGTGGTGAGCCATGCTGACACAAATAGGAACCCTGGTCTCTGAACTCCACTATGGTTTTATGTACAACTATCTCACTGATAGCTCTTTTATATCTGGCACCACAGCACAAAAAGCACCAAACAGTGGGTGTGACAGGAGCTCCCTGAGCAGACAGCCTCCCCACAGCTGCCAACCCATGCACATGCCATGGTGCTGCCTTCAAGGATACAGTTTTGGGCTCTTATCCCTCCCCTTCCTCCTGCCGGGACTGTACAAAGACTGCTCTGTGCACCCAGGACTGTGAGCTGGACCCAACACCACCCGGTACTCAGCACCCATCAAACCCATGAGGAAGCCAGGCAGTCTCATCCTCTGAGCCCATAGAGCACCTCGAGCAATGACATGGGCTTCTTCTGGGCAGGTTTCCTCCACAATAATGTTGCTTCTTCTCAAAATAGTTCTAGATGAATGTGCACAGGGAGGGACCATGTTTCAATTTCCAGAGTCTCTTAGCATTACCCAAACTCCTGTGGCTCAATCAGTGATCTCAGATGTGTGGGGATGAGTTACACTCAAGACCTCACTGCTGGAAGCTAAATTTTCTGAAACTCTCCTGTAATAACACCTTAATTCTTGGTAAAGATGGCCAGCCCACTTTCTTGGAATTATCTAGTAAAGTTTCACAGTGATGAAATGTACTCTGCATTTGACCTATCAAAAAGGACACTACCTAGTCATGAATACCACTTACATTAAAATTAGGAGAAAGAGTAAATGGTAAACTTCATTTCATTGCCCAAATCTACCAGAACTCAGGATTTCAAAGGGCCCAGGGAGTGGAAGCTGTGATGCAGGAAAGCAGGAATTTAGCCATGTTCCCTGCTGCAACTTTCTCCCTTCTCTAGGTCAATGTTGGGATTTGAGATTCATAGGTCTATTTTTTCAGGGAGCCTCAAAGAGAGCCTTTCAGAGACTCACAGACCATAATATGTGATGTGGATGGCAAATTACTTGGACTTCTGGCATCAAATAACAAGCAGAATCCCTCCCGCACTGTCTGACACCTCCTGCCCTCCTGGAAATTGCTGGGGTAAGACTTTGCCCTAGCACTGAGACTATAAACTTATCCTGAGCCCAGCTCTTGTGGACAGTGAGCCATGGCCACTCTCTGCACTCTGTATCCTCTGGAAGCAGGTTTCTGCTGATAGTCCAAGGCTTCCTTCATCCCTCTTCTTCCCTGAAATCAGTGTCTGTGCACAAGACCTGGCCCACTACTCTGAACTAGGGGCTCCCTAGTTGTTGGAATTAGCACACAGTGTTCCTTCCTATGGAGTTCCCTGTACTTCTGGGGCGCTCAGTGTGCACACACAGTTTTCCTTCATCTCTCAGCCCCAGTTAGGAGAGTCTGTTATTCCCATGGTGTCTGTAGCCCTTGGTGCATAATTCACTGTTTAATACCCAAACTCCCTGACCGCTCATACCTAGAACATCAGTGCTGTAAAGCCCAAGTGATTCTCATTAATCTCTCTGAACTAGGTGTCCTCCAAGGATCCTGTCCACATGAGGGTTCAGCATCACCTGACAGGTATTGTGCTATTGTCCACCCCGGGAAGAGGAAGACTCTCTAATGTGACCAGGACTCTCTAATGTGACCCAGTCATTCTTCTCTCCCTGGCACAGTAGGGTGATGGTGCTTCTTCTGCTGACTGAAGCCTATGACTCAGGGACACAGGCTGTTCAGTGGGTAAGAGGAGTCCACACACACTGTGAGCCTGCTGTGCGCAGGTCAGCCACCCATGCTGCAGAGGATTGGGCAAGGAGGGACAGATGGACATCCACAACCTTTCCCTCCCTGAACACTGTATGGAGCTGGGCCTGGTGCAAAGAGGAAGCTGCACCAGCAACAAACACTCTTAGCTTTGCAGCACAACACAGCCAGCCTCTCAGAGGTACATGTTGTGTATTATCTTCTTCAAGAGTGATTGAGAGCAGTTTAAAAACTAGGCCTTAAAAGGTTTTTGTACTTTGTGGTCATCATTTCCACTGTTTACTCATGTGTAGCTATCAACCATTTTATGTGGGGAAAACGTGTTAACCAATTTTCCACTGGTAGAACTTTTGCGGCTTTTATCTTCCTCTCTATAACCAACAATCACCTGACCAGAAAATACAATTGTCAAATCTATTTGAGAAAAGGAATTTTTTTACTGTCTATTCCAGTGTTCTATTTTGGTTCTCTCTTGAGTTTTGTAGTGTATAGTTTTGATCCTATGTGAGGTTTTTTCATAGATTTTCTGTGTTAATTTATGTTCTTGGGAGACAAGAGGTATTTAAACGTTAGTACGCAACCAGGACCCAGCTCCTCCAAACTATTAAAGAGCTTCCCCTGATCCACTTGCTAAGACTGTCCCTGTCTTCATCTGACTCCTAGCATCACATTCACTGTCTCCACTTGTCTCCAAGTTCTGGTGCTCGAAGCTCTCTCCCGAACTCCAGGTAAAGAGCCCATCCTCCGGCACTCTAAGGTATCTCCAGCCTGATGCTCCCCACTTTTCCAAATTCCACTCCTAGACCAGTTCTACAACTACTCGCAGTGGTGCTCATAGCTCATGTGACTCTGGACCATTTCTTGATCCATCCATGGGAGATGCTGCTCCTCCTTTGCTCTGGTCACACTGTTCTGGTCAGAGGTCTCCTTTATCTGCACCTCTGGACAAGGTGGAGACTCATAATTGAATATAGTGATCATAGGCCCACTGTGTCCCTGCACTTCTTGACATGAGGACACTGAGCCTCCTGTCAGAGGAACACTCAGTATGCTCACCCCAAGCACACAAGAGGTGTCAGAGTAATCACCTCCTTTCTGCTTAGTCGTTGTCTTTGTAAGCTCCATGTTCTTTCAGCACTGTCACCTTTCACAGTGCTATCTTCACTAAGGATAAGGAGGGGCTCCCTGCATCCCAGGTGCTGTGACCTAAACAGTGTTGTTCTGCAAGCCATGGTGAAGTCCTACAGCCCTTCTCCTTCTCCTTGGTCCAACACAGGGCACTGGGCAGGCAGAGCCTCTGTAGCCCCAGCTAAGCACTCAGCCCTGGGAGGAGTTCATCAGGGAACAGCAGGAGCAGCTGCTGTCCCTGAGTGTGCACAGCACTGGTTGTCATTGTCCTCACACAAAGGTGAGCATGACAATGGTAAAGCACACACAGAAAACAAAGAAGTGCACATGGGGGTCGGCCTATGCCCTCCTATTCACGCAAGACAGCACTCTCTTCAAGGACAGCCCAGGCCCAGGGGACAGTGAAATGCAGCTGAGCTGTCAGCCCACTGCACAGGTTTGGTGCCAGCTGCAGTGACTTGCTCTGGAGCAAGGGACAGGAGTTGTCCCTCAGGTCCCTAGAAGGAAAGCCATGAACAAGGGAAATGGGAATCGGAGCTCAGGAAGCACCACACATTTATTTCATCTACTAGGTCAGTCAATGTGTGATCACTACAGTGAAATCCTGGAGATAGTCACTATAGAAAGAGGAAAACCTGATGAGGGGAGAGGTCCCTTCCACCTCCTGTTCCTGCAGGATGAGTGATTGAAGATCTCCCCCGCAGCACAGAGGCCATCTGCTCCTCTGGACCATGAGGTATTTCTGGAGTCTAGGAAAACTCCCCAAAGTAAACATGCATTGAAAATGGCCCAGGAGTGACAGTACAGAGGAGGCTCTCAGAAAGTGAGTGTCTTGGTTGGAGTCCTGTTTCTGAGGAAAGACAGGTTGCTTTGAAAGACAGGTTGCTATGAAAGACAGAGCCAGGTTGCTTTCTTTAATGAATGGGCTCTTGCCATGTGGGAAGGTCTGAGACTAAGGGAGAAATCAGAACTTGGCTTATATTTCTCCACAGAGCTTTGAATCCTGGGCCTGTGGAAAGCAGAGCCTGGCCAAGGGAGGAGCTCTCTGTCCCCATTGGGTGGGTCCACAAAGGTGGGGACAAAGGCTACAGAATCTCATTTTCCACTTCTGTTCATCTGCGTGTTCTGCAGCACCGAGGTCTCCTCTGGCAGAGGTGAGGCCATCAGAGTAGGCAAAAGGAAGCACACCATGCCTGTTCTGCTCTGCCTAGGTCAGGGCTGGGAGGAGAAAGGCACTAGGGTGGGGTAGAGAGGGGATCTGCTGAAGTATCTGTAAGAACCTCTGGCAGGACAGGAAACTCTCTTCCAGGGCTGAGTCTGCACATGGCACAGCAAGGACCCATAGGTGAGTCCTCCCCAGCACTCTGTGTCCCACCTCAGCCTCAGCTCCTGGCCTTCAGCTGGTTCAACAGAGGCTTAAGCTGAGGTTTAGTAACAGGGTGAAGCCTTGGAATGATCTAGGGGACAAAGAAGGTCCTGGATCCAGGCTCTATTTCCTTGCAGGGACCTTCCCGAAACCCTCTCTCTGGGCCATTCCAGGCTCTGTGATCCCTTGGGGGAGTTCTGTAAGCTTATGGTGTCAAGGGAGCCTGGAAACCCAGGGCTACAGTCTGAAAAGAGAAGGAAGATCAAGGTTCTTGGAACAACCAAATCTACATGGAAACAAGGCCAAGTTCTCCATCCCATCTATGACAAGAGATGATGCAGGGCGATATCGCTGTTTCTATAGCAGCCGTGCTGGCTGGTCAGAGCCCAGTGAAGCCCTGGAGCTGGTGGTGACAGGTGAGAGGACACCCAGGCTCTAACCAAGCCCAAGCCTCTGGCCTCAGGAAGGGGTCTACTCTCAGGAATGTCCCTTCTCATAGTCCAGCCTTGGGGACACTGTGGGAGGTATGGGGCCATTTCACGCGCTACCTCCTTCTCTCCTAGGAGTCTACAGCAAACCCAGCCTCTCAGCCCTGCCCAGCCCTGTGGTGAAATCAGGAGCCAATGTAACCCTCCAATGTGCCACAGGACAACAGTGTCACAGGTTCATTCTGACTAAGGAAGGAGAAGCCAATCTCTCTTGGAACCTAGAATCCCGACGTCTTCCCAATGGACAGTTCCACGCCCTGTTCCCAGTAGGACCAGTGATTCTTGGTCCCAAGTGGTCATTTAGATGCTATAGCTATGACAAGGAAAGTCCCCTTGTGTGGTCCATACCCAGTGACCCCCTGGAGCTCCTGGTCTCAGGTGGAAAGACCCTGTGCCTGTCCTCTCTCTGCTCAAAATATCACTCAGGCCCTTATCCCAAGGGACATTTTTTCCTCAGTTGGAGTGAGGACAATTTGGGGATTCCAGCCAGGGGAGAATCCTCCCTCTAAGACAACAGGGCTCCCTAGAGTGAGCTCACCCCAACCCCTTGATGTGAATTTAGAAATTGCCACAGGGGCAGGGAAGGGTTTTGGAGAATCCTAGAGGTTGATTTTAGACAGTGAGCAGTGGCAGGGTGCTCAGGAACAGGTTTGGACATAACATTTTTCTTTCTTCATTGCCAGGATTGTCTACTCCCAGTTCCCCATGCTCAGGGCCCATCACCACACAAGGAGCTCTGGGAGCCCCAGATCCACACCCTCAGCTCCCAGCTCCACAGCAGGTGAGTTTTGGGCTCCATGCCAAACATCTTCTGTCCAGGCTGCCTGGAGACTCTCTGCCCATCTTGGCTCTTGTCGCAGCCTCAGCTCCTCTTGTGTCCAAAAACCAGAGCTTCAAGTGGAGGTGTGGACAGGACCTGGTCAGGAGAGTTGCTTTTCTGTTCCTTGATTTTCTCATCTGTATACTGCCTGGGTGGGACAGTAGTGACATGTCACAAGATTGTGAGTCTCTGAGGTGATGAATGCAAACCCCAGTCTGGGGGGTCATCAGATAAGTGAATAACTTCCTAATGTAGACATCACACATGGCCAAAGTGAAGGCAGGAACCTGAAGCTTCTGACTAGGATCTCAGTGGCCTTCCTCCTCCTGCTCGCACTCCTTATGCTTTTGTGACTTCAGCATCAGGTCCAACATAGGAAGTCAGGTGAGGAGGGAGAGGATGGCCTGGGTTCCACCCAGGTAGTGATCTGCTGCTGTGCTTAGGGCCCCAGAAACTGAATGAATCTGACACTGATGAGGAAGAGTCATGAAAGGTGCAGGGAAGAATTCACACAATGTCCCAGGGCAACCTTCTTGTCACCAACACCCAGTTCTTGTGCCACCTCCCCACAGGACTTCTACTGGAAGGAACAGAGTGCTACACTTATATATATTATTTCTATATATGTAAAAGGTATCCCTAAGGATCCATTGTGTTTGCACATATATTAGTCTTATCTCTCTCTCTCTCTCTCTTTTTTTTTTGGTACTAGTAATTGAACTCAGATACTTGCACTTTGTAGGTTCTGTGCCACTGATGTACTTCCCTGACCCTCTGCACATATGTTATTGATTATTTGAGAAAGATTTAAATTTCTAAAACAAGAAGTGAAATTTTGAGAAGCCACTGCTATTCCCACCATTAGAATATGTGTATGTGTGTTGCACTGTGGGTGTGTCTAAGTTCTTGACGATTTGCTAACGAGAGGTGACAGAGAGATGGGGAAGCACCAGTAGTCCAGGTTGGGTGGTGAAGGGGAGGCAGCCCCAGAATTCAGCCTTTGTGCTCCTCATGTTCCAGGGTCCTGAAGACCAACCCACCTTCCTGGACCCTGGCTCCTTCACTGGTGTATTAGAGAAAATCATCTCAAGGAGAATGAGCTCACATTGTCCTGTGTCCCAGACAGCAAAATCCATAGGAGGACTTTATTTCTGAACTGGAGGCCTTTGTTTTTACAAATCCTGAGCTCCTGAGTGCAAATTAACTTTCCTTCAGTGGGCTCAGATGTAAGATCTGAACTCACAGACCCCACTGAGGCTGAAAAATCCTAGAGAGAGATCAGAGCACTCCTTCATCCATAGGGAGAGTACTGTTTCAGGACCTTGCAAAACTGTATCAGGAAAAAGAAATGTAAGAATGAGCATCAGCAAGAGGCTCAGGTCTCTTCAATCTTACATCCTCTTCTCTTTCCTTGGTTCTTAGAAGTAGAGACCATCCTGATCCCATCATACCAAATGACAGAGTCAATGCATGGGGAAAGGAGGGGTCTGAATTCTGGGTCAGAACACAGAGGATCAGGTTTAGCCTAGAGTGTACAGGTGCCCAAGGTGGATATTCAGGAATCCTGTGATGATTCTACTCTGTCTTGATCTGTGAGACCTTTTGACACCATGCCCACGTTACAAACACAGGATTACACAGTGGGGAATCTCATCTGGATGGGCCTGGCTGGCTTGGTCTTTGTGACCCTCAGAATTCTGCTCTTCTGGGATCACTGCATTCAAAGAAGGACCCAAGATGCAGCCAGGATGTGAACCCAAGAAAGAGCCATCAGTGCTGGCAGAGTTTGGGCCTTGGACATGAATTATACATGCCAGAGTGGTTCCTGAAGAAAGCCCTGGAACCATATTGGGTGCCCATCCACTGGGAAGCCTGCGGGAGGTGATGAGGTTTGGGTTCAGGGCAGTCTGGTATGGTCTGAGAGAACTCTCTCTCCAATAAGTGGCTCTACTTGGCCTGCCTCAGCCCTGGGCACCTCTGCACTCCTCACTCTCTGCTTCAGCCCCTCCCCACATCTGAAGTCCCTGAGCCCTGTGTGACACAGGCAGGATGCTGCTCAGTCTTGCTGGGGTCCAACTGCAAGTGAGGCTGAACCCCCAGCACAGCCTCTCCTGAAGAGAGAAGCACCGGGCTGAGTGCATCACAGGGCACAGCCCTTCCTGAGTGCCCTGGGGCCTTGGTGCTCAGTGCTCACCTGAGACTTGGGAGGGGCGGTGTTGCTCCTTGGGTCCCTGGGGTCTCTGCCCAGCAGGTCCAGAGTGCAATGCTATTTAGTTCTGTTATGCATTCGGGTTTCATACTTGTGTATCGTTATTGCTTTTTGCTCAAACTAAAAATAATAATTTCCTGTGAAAATGTAAAGATACATGAACTTATGCTTTAAAATATAAGTAATTATATCTCTAATTTCGGGGAATTTTATTACATTTATTCAATGATTCCAGAAAATAACTTTTTAATGCCAAGTCTTTTGTTCAAGATGTTGAAAACTGAGGTTTATTAGTAAGCTTTAGAAATATTTCAAAATTATTCATTTAAATATTTTATAGTCACAAAAAATTTGTAATGTGACCCCATATTTTAAAAATTTGTAAGGTAAGACTTGGTCACTTTATACTGAATAATAATTTATCATACAACAAAGCTATTGGATTGTGTGTATTACTAGTACTTCAAATTATATTCAGATCCTCTTCCAATAACTTTTTAATATTCTGTGATTCACTGATAAAAGATATATGAAGTAAAATTAATTTCTTAATTACATACCTACTTTAGGTATTATATATATAGTAATACATATTATTATATCAAGATTGACACGTATATCCTTGGATGTGTATAATATATAATGATTGTATACATGACCTGTGTTTTATATGTTTGCATTTCTTTTCACTTTTATCCACATTATTCATTTATTCCACTTATTCCTTTTTACACATATACATGGATTTACACATCTATAAACTAGACACACTGATTTTAGGAATCTCTGACATTTCCACCATGTAAAGCAGGTACATACATGTCTGTGTGTGTGTGTGTGTGTGTGTGTGTGTGTATGTGTGTGTAGCACTGTATTTGTTTTACCTCATGAGATGATCACTTAAGACAAGATAACAAGGATGATGGGCACAAGGCCCCAGGCTTGGTCAGAGCCCCAGATGTTCACCCTCATGAACCTGAATTTGAGGAGCCTTGTGGACCAGAGCTTCATATGTGGACCCTGAAATTTAAACCAGTGAATGAAGGGAAATTCACCTCCAAGAGAATCAGTGTACATTGTCCTGTGTTCCAGATTAAGCAAAAGCTTGTAGCACTCAGTTACTTCCAAACCAGAAATTATGTATGTTGCCAATTCTGAGCTCTTGGAACTCAGGCATACTTGGTTCCAACACGACTCAGACCCAAGTTCACAGAGTGCAGTGAAGGTGAAGAATCCACTGGAAAATGGCTCCTATGGATGGTCATGAAGTCGTGTCATGATGGTAAGATATGAAGCTATAGAACCCAGAATAAAGGCTCTAGTACTTCAGTGATTCACACATTTTTATTTCTTTCTTGATTCTCAGGAGAAATGGAGACCTTCAGTCTAGTCTAAACACAGTCAGACTCCAAATCTGATGAGTAACAGAATTCTCAGTTATGGAGCTGGTTTCAGAAGGTAAAATCTTATTCAGGGAAGCAGGTGACCCTGGGGGATATTCAGGAATCCTGAGGCAATATTCATCTTCTCTGACTTCTTTGTCACTAACTCTTATCTGCAAACCTCAGCATTATACAATAGACAATCTCATTGGATGGATCTGGCTGACCTGGCTCTGGTGATTATCAAAATTCTACTATTCCAGGCTCAACACAGCTAGAGAAAGATCCATAGGCAGCCAGGAGCTGAACTTGTGAGAGAGAGCACTCACTGAAAACTCACAGTGCTGGAGACTTGGAAATAAATATGCCTCCCTGAGATGTGTTTTTGACTTTCATTTTGCATATGTGTTATCACCTGTTGGAAGCGCTTGAAGCTGGAAACTGACCTAAGGCATTTCCCAAACGTGATCCAATCAGAAAAACAAAAACTCCCAGATCAGCCACGTGAAGAAGTTGCTACAGCCTAGGAAAACACCAAGCCCTAGACAATCCAAGCAATGGGTTGCTAGAAGAAGGGGCTGAAATTGACACCATCTTTCCCAGTATATAAATAAACACACTGCATTGGTTGAGCAGCACCTTTCCTCCCATCAGGAGGCTAAGGGTGCACCTGACCCTAGCTTTGTCTTTTCTTTATTTTTCTCATCCTCTCACTGTACTTCACCCCAAGAACCTCAGGAGTCACATTGTGTCTCGGCAACCAACCATGTTCAGCCTATTCAGCCTGGTATTTGAGGGGTTCATAATGTCCAGCACTCTGATGGAGGTTTGATCCCCACTATTATACAGAGAAGAGAGAACAACTGCACTATTTTTTCTGATACATAGACTGTAATTAGCCAAAAATGAATGGGCAAAACTATCTGCCACCATTAAGAATATAAACAGAGGGGCTGGGGATTTAGCTCAGCGGCATAAGTACCTGCCTTGCAAACAGGCAGTCATGAGTTCAACCCCCGGTACTGATAAAAATGAAAAAGACAAAAAAAAAAAAAAAACAGAATCAGTGAAAATAATAGAGATTAAATTATTCACACATTGACATAGCTTAAGAATGAATAAAAGCTATAGCTAAACCACTGTTTACCTGAGAGAACCGAACTGTCACAGCAGTATAGACACAAAGACCAACCAAATTTTATCATTCAACAAACATCTAGTAAATGCATCAATTACAAAATCATTAACAACAGAAAAGAATTCAATAATACAGTCTAGAATCAACTACAGAGCCAACAGAAAAGAATTCAATAATACAGTCTAGAATCAACTACAGAGCCAAAAAAAATTTAAAAAGGCTTACAAGTAAT